CGTGTTCGATCATATTCATCATCACACGCATAAAAACACATTTTTACACATTACATACATAGATTTAAAAAAATATATATATATATATATATATAAATAAACAAACATAATCTTCGTTCGGCTTCATCATGAAAGAAAAAAAAAACAAACTATGAGAAAACATTGATCTTAAAAGCAAAGAGAAAAAATTTAATAAAAAATGACAAAAAAAGAAAAAGAAAAAAGAAAGTTAATAAACGAAGGGTTAATAAGAGAAGGGTAAATTAACCCTTTGGCTACATTTGACGTATCAATACGTCACATGCATTTGTTGTTTGTTTGGGGGAAAAAAAAACTCGCATGACGTTTTGAGATACGTTTCTCATTGAAACTGTGACGAGATTTAAAACTCTACTAACTTCATTTTGGTTGATTTATTTGAAAGTAATGCGAGTAATTTTTTATATTATTATAATATAATATAATTAATTAATTAATATATAATATTTCAAAGTAATTTTCAAATAAATATGTACTCATAAAGGGATTAATTTGACATAGAAACCAACAATTTGATTGTAATTCAATTAAATCATTCATTTTGTTCAATGGTGGTCCTCCAGCGATAATAAGAATTAATAGAGAAGAAACTTGTGCTATAATTATTATTCATAAATAAACTAATAAATACAATACTGCATATTGTAAATAATGATAATAATTAATTTAAAAAAAAAAAAAAAAAAAAAAAAAAACAAACATATTTAACAAGTTGTGTGCGTGCGCCACGTGAATTCTTACGGAAATCTTTGTCAGGCCACCGTGCAGGAAAAACAAACCGTGCACAAGTTGAGCGTCAGGCACCGGTGTCTGACATGGCTTGAACGCAAAGTTCATCGTCAGTCATCGATGACTGACGTGGCACACTCAACGTATTAAAAAGGCAAAAATATTGGCACGAATAAAAAAAAATAAAAAGGGGGTGGGAAGAAAAAGGGAAGGTGGACAAAGAAATTTCTCGCTTGGATTAATAAATAAATAAATAAATAAATAAATAAATAAATAATTCAATAATTATAAAAGGGGGAAAAAATTGAACACAAACACAGAGAAGAACAGGGATATGAAAGAAAACAAAGAAACACGCTCATAAAATTATCTGCAAAATGTTACGATTTACAAATCTGCTATTATCTTTTTAAGTTATATTATGTATAAATATATATTTATATAAATATAAATATATATATTTATATAATATATATATATATATATTATATTATTATATAATATAAATATAAATATATATTTCAATATATATATACAGATATATATTTATATTTATATTTATATAGAAAAACGCTGTCATCTTTATTATTATTATTATTATTATTATTATTATTATTATTATTATTATTATTATTATTATTATATTATTATTAATTTTTATCTATTACTATTATATTATATTTTAATATTATGCGAAACTCTTTAAACGTATAAAATTATAGTTAGTTTAGTTTAGTTTAGTTAGTTTAGTTAGTTAGTTAGTTAGGTGGTTCGGCTTGCCGAAAAAAAAAAACAATCGGTGCGAGTGCGTTTGAAAATGAATAAAATAAATAAATAAATAAATGAAATGAAATGAAATAAAATAAAATAAAATAAAAGAAATAAAAATGAATACAATGATAAGTAAAAACGCAATCGAATAAAAAAATGATTATGAAATGGAAGTAAGTTATGTATTTTTAACTCGTCATCGTTTTACATACAAATTTCAACACACGCATTCACACTTACCACAACAAGAAGAAAAAGAAGAAGAAGAAAAAGGAAAATCCTAATTGAAATATTGCGCATTTAGCGTTAGGGCAGTGTTGTTCCTGTCGAGAATTATGTTTATACAGAATGTTTTTGAATACATGTTAAAATTAACTTCAAAAGTGGACAGAGGGGGGCGGGGAATACAAAAACTAAAATGAAATTTAATTAACGGAACAAATGTGTCGCAATAAATTAGAACAGCAAATATTCCGGTGACACAAGTAATATTGTTTAAAAAAATAATAATTATTATTTTCTTTCAATTGTGTGTTTTATGAAAAAAAAAAAAAAAAACAAAAGTGTACTGTCTCACATAACACGATAAAGTTTTGAAATCTTTCAGTAAAAGTTTCGTTAAAATATTTCCAAACAAATCATTCAGAAACCTTGCACAGGCATCATTCTAAAATATTTTTGATAAAGATTCATATTCAAATAAACGAACATGGTCTAGTAAAAGGGGAACGAGAAAAGAATAAAAAAGGCACTTGCGATTTAACAAAAAAAATACCAGATTATTGACTCGAAATGGAAAAAGAAAAGAAAAAACACACCCTTTTTTTATGCGACTTATATCAAATATAACACACACACACACACACACACACACTCTACATTAGAGTGCAAAATTTAACGAAAATAAAAATGAAAATGAAAAGAAGAAAAAAAAACACAAAAAAAACAAAAAAGATTATTCGTCGTCAAGTTTAGCGAAAAGCACTAACAATTTTTTTACATTTAAACTCTAAATTAACATTTTAACACGTTGACGTCGGCGCCGATTTTCAGTGTCTGCGCTGTGGGGCGGCACTCGAATCTAAAATGCGCTTCATCTGGCGGCGCGTGATTTTTGCTTGTTCAAACCTAAACTAAGGTGGACCACCGGTGGTACGCGCCGCCCGATGGGACAGTCTAGTGCGGGTCACCGGTGGTACGCGCCGCCCGATGAGACAGTCTATTGTGGGCCACCGGTGGTACGCGCCGGCGTAAACGTGTTAAAAAAGAAAAAGAAAAGTATGCGCATTGATTATAAATAAATTTGAAAAAAAAAAATAGTCTTCTCATGTGAAAGTAAAACGAAACAAAAAAAAAAGAAAAAAAATGATTCAAAATCGAGTTCCATTCGTAGCACTCCATTTACGCATTTAACAACCACAACACACATTTTTCACACGCATCTAAATAAGAAAAAAAAAAAAAATAAAAACATACAATAAAATTCATGCGGCGACACACATGCGAAGCACGTGTGTGTGTATATTTACTGTGTTAAGTGTGCGTGCTCCTTCGTATTAAAAAAAAATATATCGTCTCTTACTTTAAGTCATGTGCCTATAAAAAAAAAAAAAAAAAAAAAAAAGTAAGAAGAAGAAAAGAGAATGTTCATTAGATATTTACAAAAAAAAAAAAAGTAACTGAGTCCGTTAGTGTTAATAAACACGTTGCATATGTGCATCATTAACATCTACATGTAAAGCTTGTACATTTTCTCACATTTTCTTCGCGAGAAGGGTGGGTGGTGATCATCCCCCGTTATAATATTAAAAAAAAGAAAAAAAAACAACTAAATGGGGGGGGGGAAAAATGAAATAATATAAAAATGTCATACGCGAGCGCCATGATCTACTCGGTAAAAATAAAATTCCAAATAAAACCTACCGACTCGTAATATAATATAATATAATACACATCTATATATTTACAACAACAACAACAATAAAAATATCTTGAAATTATGCGAAAAGAAAATGCACTATGATGATAAATAATGTGTATGACAACGCGTATGAAAGAAAAATAATGTTATGGAAAAGTAACGAGAATCAAGAAACAATCCGTCGAAATATTTTATTCCCCCTCTCCCCCCACCTCCGCCCTCGCCCTGCCCCACCCCTTTTATAAACAAACCCTCACATCATAAATTATGTTTGTTCTTTTTTTTTTTTTTTATATGCCACGTAGAAATCACAAACCTTCATAGAAAAATATGCATATGTATAAACACACATACATACCATTTACATCTCATTACACATATACACGAGTTGTATACGAATTAAATTCGCTTCCTTCGTGTGTTGTGTAGTAAAACATTTTATTTTATCTTATTTATATAGTATAAATAATATAATATAATATATATATATGTATTATATTATTTTATTATATATATATATAATTAAGGTATTTAGGATTAGCACAATGCTTATGGGATTTAAAAAAAAACTAATTGAAAAATCGATAAAACAGATATTAACAATCTGTTTAAATGTTGAAGAAAAACATATAATAAACACATACAGAGAGAGAGAGAGAGAGAGAGAGACACGTATTTTGATCATGGTGCAGCGTTGTTGTTCCCACTGTGCAATTGCATACCAATGTACATTATTTCTGTTGTTTAAAGCACATTGCTGCTTCCGCTAGTCCCTAAAGTTAAATAAACGCAAACCTGTACAACAACAACAACAGAAAAAATCTAATCTCAAACCTAGTTTTTTTTTTTAATTCATTATACATTCAAAAAAAAAATAAAATATAATTTTACGGTGTTTATTTAGAACGATGAAAGATGTCTTTTTCTTTTTCTTTTTTTGTTAGGATGGTTCATCCATCAGTTTTCTCTCGTAAAATAACAAAACCTTCCAATACGCTGGACAATGGTTCGTATTCGTCTAACAACAACTCGGCCCTTTCATTGTGCGTTAAAAGGGTTGGTGTTGTGTGAACGTTACCACCAGCTATGGATTTAGGATTACCAGCTTTTCCAACTATGTCAACAGCTTGTCCAACTCTGACAGAAACTGGAAGTATCTGCGATTTTTCAAATTAAACATTAACAAATTCAAGTCAAATAATAATATAAATTACGAATAGGATAGTTCTTTCAAATATAATTATTATTTGAGTAACCTTGAGATTTGTATCCAGTGTGACCAACCATCTAGGTTCCATAGCAGTAGCTAAACAATACATTAAATAATGAGATTTATCCAATATCAAATTTCTACAATCCAAGCATGCAACAAGGACCACCATCAATCCAGCCAATGCCGTTTGATCTAAAATTCTTGATGCATAATGCATAGGTGATAAAGATAGTGTACCCTAAAATAATAATATAATATTAATAAACATATATATTAGATTAGATTAGAATTTCTTACTTTTCCTAGATGAACAAGACCTTGAGATATTCGTACGAGGAATAAATGCGATGGATTTTTGGCATGATATGCAGCTAATTGTCTAAGCATTGTTGCTAATCGTGCATTATTGCTACCAGCACCGACCAATCCTAATGCTAATATTGCATTGTGTGCAACGTCTACGTCATTGTCGTGACTGTATTTGTTTAAAACGTCTAACAATGCTGGTTCTGGATTTGAAAGTGATGAAAGAGCCATTGCTAAGGGCACCGCACGTCTTGCTTGTGTCGGACCATATCTTCCAACCTGTTTACAAAATTATTATTATTTATAGTTTAATCATGTTTATTTTTATTTTATTTTATTTCTTTTTTTTAGGGTTGAAATATTACCTGTCCAAAGATTCTTGAATTTTCTTTACCTTCACCGAGTCCAACGACTCCTACTCCGAGCGATGCAATTGCTTGTGATATCCCAATTTCTCTATTTTTATTATATATTATTAATAATATTGATTACTATTAATATTGCTGTCTTTCAAATTAATTACAATTAATGTAATTAAATATTTCTACCTCGAATTAGGTGTCTTGTTCTTTGTTTGAGTATCATCAGCCGATTGATTAGATCCCATACGTTTACCATGATCGCAACAACTGACAACAGGAGTCGTAATTGGTGTACCATAAATACTGTCGTCCTTACCGTTAACAGGTTCTGAACAAATTCTTAATAATTCTTGAACGATAAGAACGTCACCGGTTCCAGCGTATGCGCAAATCTGATTTTTGATTAAAATTAAAATGAACATTAATATAAATTAATTATAAATCACCTATACCTGTAACATTGTTTGACAAGCAAGCCTGTACGGTTCCGGTAAAACTTCTAATGCAGCTGATGGTGTATCAATAACATCTCGACAACCCATGTAAAGTATTCCCAAGGCTAATGATATAAACCTGTTTTAAAAAGATTCCTCCTTGTGTTACGTGTTTCCTTATTCGTTATTGAAATTAATTGAAAATCATTCCTTCTATTTGTTTAATATAAATAAACGTTTATAGACAATATTGTAACCTGTAATGTGTATTGGCAAATTCTTCTAACGTAAGTTCTAATAATTTTTGCAATATGGTAGAAGAAATATTAGAATTGGCAGTACCAACGTAAACCAAACCTAAACCAAGAGCCGACAATCCAACAATTTCCATCGTACCTACAAATATAATTATTATTATTAATATAATGAATTATTTAATATACTGTGTGTGAACTAAAAAAAAAAAATTAATTAGAAAACAAAACAAAAAAATGTTAACTTCGTTTATCGTTCAATGAAGATGTAAACAATTCCGCAAGTACGGATCTTTGGGATCCAGCGTAAGCCAAACTTAATCCTAAAATTGCACCAATTCGTAAAATTAAATTGTCCGAAAGAACATAATCACTCAATAATGCCAATGCTGGATCGCATTCATTTTTAACTCCACAGTTTACCAATCCAATTGCCAATAAAGCACCTGACTTGATGTAATCGTCATTTGTATAAAGGTATCTAATTAAAATAAATTATGTTTAAATAATATATTATTTTTATAATGTATATATAGTTCACATTCACTTGTCGATTGGTACTAATCCACCATCCACGTCCCAAAGGTGTATCAATCCTAAGGATGCTGTTGCTGATAACATAGCGTGACCCTGAAATGTATAAAATTCATGACCATTACCAATGTACATTGACATTGGTTGGACATCAATTACCTTATTTTTGTATACCCAACAATCTTTAGTATTTGACATTAGTTTGTCTTCACCAAATCCGGCATGAACAAATGCAGTGACGAAACTTGCTGCTAAATTAGATCTAACAGAATCATAATCGATGTTACGTCTCGTACCAGTTTCCAACCAAGTTTTATAAATATCTTCAGGAAGTTTAGGTTCCAATATGTCTAATTCTCTAGTTAATATTTGAAAGTGACCATTGACGTGTCCGTTGGTTAAAATATTTTTAATTTCATCGGCATCGCAGCCTTCATATTTTTCTATTTGTAAATGATTCTAAATAGGAAAATTGTTTTCAAACGATTAATTATTAAATCAAAATGACGATTAATAAAGAATACATTTCTACCTGTTGTCTTGCAATTAAAAATGCTAATTGTTTTCGTATCAAAGGATCGATACACGTGTTGAGACACGTGAAAACCAATTCCGGATTGTTTAATTGTATTGCAATTAACATAGCTTTGCTATAATCATTAAATCTGATATACTGACTGTATACAAATTCTAATATTTGTTGTTTTTCCATTTCTTCGCTAAATTATAAAATAATCGTATTTATAATTAATTGATATAAAAAAAACATAACACACACACACACATACATTACTAAATTCAATATTAACCCCTTTAAATTGCACACTCGAGTTAAACTCGAGCGACGTTATATTCTATGCTGCTATCAAAATTTTGATTAATTGTGTATTTAAAAAATTTTTTTTTTTTTTACCAAGACAATGTTCTAAATTGTGTTTTTTTTTAAATTGTGCGTTAAGGGGTTAAAATATGTCAACCAAATATTAATAATAAACTAACCTGTAAGCAGCACAACTGGTTAAATAATGAAGAACTCTTAAAAAATTATTATTATTCAAATGATCGAGTAGAAAATGTATTTGATCAATTTCCAAACACAAATCGCAGGCTTGTATCTCAGCATTGTGTTTCATATTAAATTGAACGATACTTTTTATCAATGGTGTTAATCGTAATCTTAAATGATAAATTAATTATACGATTGTTCAACAAAATTTCATTTGATAAAATTCACCTGATATTTTTTTCCTCCTTGATCGGTGCACTTGTCCATTCATCAACGATCTCAGCTTCCAATTGTCTAACATATTCGTGACCCCATTCACCAGGATTTTGTACCGAACCTTTTAAACAAAATTCCAAACATTCTCTCTTACCAATAGTCGATGTAGTTTCAGCGATAACCAATACGCTCAATATTTCAGCCAATTGTTTTTTAAGATCGTTTCCTTTTATTTTATTATAAACATCTTTCAATCGTGGATAATATTCGCGTAAATATTTCAATGGTTTTGGTACGGAGGTCATTGATGTTGTCGATGTTTGAATTAAAATTCTAAGATGAATCAAAGCACGTATCATGGCATTCTCATCTTTACCCTTTTTAAAACAACAAAAATTATTATCTCATTGACGATGATGTTCGTCATGTTTAAATGTGATTAAAATTAATAATAAATTGTGTTCACACACACGCACACAACACACACCATCAACACGTCAACCAATTGTAACAAATCTTCTTGTAACCTCTTATCCTCTTCATTCTGATGTAACAAAAAATTGTTCATTGAATTGAAATTGAACAACAACAAACAAGTGTGCAAATAATAATAATTGCGAGTAATTAATTCGTTTTATTTGAACATAATTAGTTTTGGTTCTTACCATTTCATCTTTTTTATCCTTGCGAGAAGTAGTAGTAGCCATTTTGATATTGACTTTGGTGTTGAATATAAAATCACAAACGTAATCGTTAATCAAATTTTAATTCAAACAAGTATCTCGTTTGATTTGTTTTTTTTTTTTGTTTTTCTCGATCGTTGTCATCTTGGCGAGGAAAATTTTCCCTCTTTCTTTTTTTTATTTTTTGAAGTGAGAATTTCTTTAGAGAATGGGTGTGAATTGAAAAAATGTGATCTACACGCATGATCTTTTATTTTTATTTCATATAAAATACAAAATAATATTCTAAAAATATGCATAAATTAATTACAATATTAGAGTTCAATTTTTATCATTATTTAGAAAAAAATATTTGATTTGTAGACATTTTTAAAAATGTTTTATTATTAACTTTCTTTGTAATTATTATAAAAATACGCGCCTGTATGAATGCAACCCTCCAGACGCACTTTGAAAATGTTGCTTGCGAGCGTCATCTGTCGGGACGGAATTTTTGTTCTGCCCGAAAGATAGGCAACCCGTCATACACAAGTGTACAAACAGTTTTGACTGGAAAAAAATTCCGTCCCGACAGATGACGCTCGCAAGCAACATTTTCAAAGTGTGTCTGTAGGGTTGCATACAAACAGGCGCGCATATTTTTATAATTAAATTAATAATTAAATAAATGATTGCAAATTAAAAATACAAACAATATTATAATAATATTATATAATAAATTATCTTCAGAAATTGTTTATTATAATGTTTCACTTCTAACTTGTGTGATATCCACACATGTTTTTCTTTTTCAAAAAAAAAAAGGACAAATTAATGAAAAAAAAAAAAATAAATAAATGGAAAAAATTGCATATTTTAAAATTATTAATTTATTCAATATTTTCAATAAAAGATATGTATATATACAAAGATTTGCACACCTTTTTTGTTTAATAATAATACGTTTTTGCGTATATGATAATAATAATAATAATAATAATATTTGTATATAGTTGCTATCAAATAATATTTACAATTTACTAATTGAATTATGATATTTTATTAATTAATCGTGCTCGTTTACACGCTTTTTATTTTTCTCTCGCATTCTATCACACATATTTAAAATAAAATAATTTATCTTCAAACATTTTTCGTATAATTTCATTTAAACACAAATCAGTATTTCTCAAAATGTCGAATCCATCACTTGACCGAGGAAACCCCCTCTTCATGAAGGGGGGAGGGGTCGTCGTCAGGGTTTCTTGTTGAACAATTTAATTTAAAGATCGTTGAAATTGATCAATTTTTACGCGATAAGTTTTATTACAGTAAAAAAAAAGAAGAAAATTCTTCCAAAAAAAAAAAAATATATATATATATCCTCCACAGAATTGAAGAATTGAATTTGAGAAAAAAAAAAACAAACAAACCCTGACTCACAGAAAAACGATTATTTAAATGAATCAAATTAAATACCTGATTTAATTACTTTACATTTCATTTAACGTTCATTCATTAATTACATTTTCATTGAATTTATAATCTTATCGATAAAAACGCACACACTTTCTCTCTTTCTCTCTCTCACTCTCACACATTGATTGTTCTATGCTGTATACATATATATATATATATATATATATAGATATAGATATACAATTATTTTATTTTTGTTTCATATTCTTATTTAATAGTTTACAAAATATATTTATTTATTTATTCATTTAATTATTTACTTATTTATTTATTTAATTAATTATTTATTTATTTATTTATTTAGAAAAAGAAAAAAAAAGAAGAAATATAAGAAAAAACAAATCGAAATAATGAAACACAAGGAAAAAGCAAAAAAAGAAACAGCAGCGACCAGCGCATGGTGGGGGACAAAAAAAAAGCAAAAAAAAAGCTATGAAAACAAAAATACCACAAGAGTAGGACTAATTGACGCACGACAATGTGTGTGTGTGTGTGTGTGTGTGCGTAAAAAAAAAATAATAATAATAATAATTAATTAGCGGGAAATTTCATTGCGATGAGTAATACAGTGTAACATTCAAAATACAGCGAGGATTAACGAGTTCGATACACAACTGAAGATTAAAATCTTTGGTAATTGCTTCAATATTCGTTCTCTCTCTCTCTCTCTCTCTCTCTCTCTCTCTCTCTCATACACACAAACACACACATACCCATACACGTACAAACACATAATCATAATCTATAGGAGCAATGAATATTATATTATTTTATATTCGTAAGAAAAAATATTTAAAATATTATACGCGAAACTTACGAATACTATTTTGATGATTGTTCTGTACGAAGAACGAAAAAAATAGAAACAATTAATTATCCCATTTTATTTTTAAATAAATTAGTTTTCCTTCGTTTCCCCGTTTTCGTTTCGTTTCGTTTCATTCCGTTTCGTTTCGTTTCGTTTCGTTTCACTTCGCTTCGTTACAACACACACACAAAAAAGATTTCTTTCTTTTCCTTTTCTTTCCTTTCCTTTTTTATTATTATTATTATTATTATTATTATTATTATTATTATTATTGTTTATCGTAAAATTTCTTATCTCGCTTTAGTTTTCTTTATTTTTCTTCTTGTTGATAAAATGTTTGTTTCAAATGCGAAAAGAAAACAAACAAAAAAAAATAGGCAAATATCGCCGGGGGAAAAAATGTAATTAACGAAAAGTAATTAATTAACGTGTGTGAAAATGATCAAAGTATTTTTCTAAGAATAATCAACAAATCATCTAATTTTACTATTTCAACTTCTTATTAAAAAAAAAAACAAAAAAAAAAAGAATAAAATAAAAATTAAAATAAAAATTCCGACACGGTAAAACGGTATATGTATATCTGGCTTTGCGCATTTAATTTTGATTTTTTTTTGTTCTTTTTTTTTTCTTTTTTTTNTTTTTTTTTTTTTTTTTTTTTTTTTTTTTTTTTTTTTTTTTTTTATCCACGTATATTATAGAAGAAGAAGTGTAACGCGAAATATAGGAATGTTTTTTTCTTGGCCTTGAACGATAGTCATGTTCAACTACTACGTACACGTTTTACGAGTTTACATTTTATAACGATGATTATATTTTCTTTTTGTAATCGTATTTGTAATGCGTGTGTTATAAACAAGCAATGAATATTTATATATATATGTGTTGTGTGTGTGTGTGTGTGTGTGTGCTCCATTCATAGGTGCAACTCATTGTAAAAACATTTTTTTTTAAACAAGAACGGCGGCAGCAATTGTAGAATAAATTAATTAATTGGTTTTTTTTTTTCTAAAAAGATCTTCACAAACGATTAAGGTGTCAGATTTGCAATTTATGGAAATTTACACTTTGTTCTTTTCTTTTTTTCCCTATATATATATATATATATGTGTGTGTGTGTGTGTGTGTGTGTGGTGGGGTTTTAAAATTTTTTTTTTTTATTCTGTTTTTATTCTGAAATATCATTTAAAAATAATTTTTTAGTTCTATCATTCCTATTTTTGCATTATTGTTATGAAAATAACAAATCTTCTTATTGTTAATAATAAAAATAATTATTATGACAGTAATAATAATAATAATGATATAAATCAAAGTTATATAATAAAATAAAATAAAAATACTTCATTGGGATAATATTTAAATAAATAAATGATGATAATGATGATGTCATCAAAGAGTTGAAAATATAAAATTAAAATCAAAATCAAAATCAAAAAGAATTGATCGAAAAGTATTTTGTCGGGATAAATAATTATCGTTCGATTATTATTATTATTATTATTATTCAACCTATAAACAATTTCTTTTCTTTTTCCATTTTCAACCTTTCCTTTGATCTCAAATGGAAAAAAAATAAATAAAACAAAATAAAAGTAATTGTAAAAAAAAAAAAAAATTATTAATTGACTAGTAGTAGGTATGACGAATCGCGAACGAGAGATAAACNGGGGGGGGGCAGTTTGGTTATTATGTATTTGAATATTTTTGCATTGGATGTTGTCAAATTTTACAATCAATAACGTGTTGTCATTTTTTTTTACATCGTCATCATCACGAACAAATTTGATTGAGATTTTTATCAAAAAGAAAAAAAAACACACACACAACGATTACGAGGAAGAAAAGAGTTAGAAAAGAAAAAAGAAATACAAAAAGAACATTTGTGATGACGCATCGTTAAAAAAGATACATTAGAAAATATCTCGTTCGCGTTATGCAACAAATAATAATAATAATAATATTAATAATATTAATAATAATAATAATAATAAAAAAACCATAAGAAAACAATAAAAGCAAAAACTTCATTGACCATTTATATTCAAGTTGAACGAGTTTGTAGCAGTAACGACTTTGTAGCAGTGGCAGGCATTTGTAATAATATAGCATAGTTGCAATATTAATAATAATAATAGTAATAATAATAATAATAATAATAATAGTAAATCGATCGTGAACTTCAGTCAGGTTTTTCCAGTTCGACCTACATTCATTCAGTTCGATCAATGTTTAAAGAAGGAACTTGCATAGACAACACCACTTCCTACTCTCGTAAATCGTTTAACGATTCCGAATTCGAATTTTTTTGTATAAACAAACAATAAAATAAAATAAAATAAAAGGAAAGGAAAAGACCAACAAAATTGCTCGAATTCTCACGAAGGTAAACACATCACATCACATCACACATCACACACACAACACTCACACGACACATGCATACTAACAAAAAAAAAAAAACAACAACAACAATAACACACTATTATTCCGTCTACTAAATTAAAAAATTGTAAAATCGTCTTGCAATTATAAACGATTTTTCTCAAATAATATACCTAATCATAGTAATTAAAAAACGATAAAATAATAATTATTATATTAAAAAATATGAAGGAATAATTTTGTTTGTTTGTTTGTTCTGTGTGTGTTTTTTTTTCTTTTTTCTTTTTCCTCTTTTTTTTTTTTTATACAATTCACAATTAAAGATATATATATATATATATATATATGTACACGCGTCCGTGAAAATACTACTCTTATTTCTTTTTTCGTTAATTTTGATAAAAAAAATTAATTCTTTTTTCTTTTCTTTCTTTCTTTCTTATAATAATTGACGACACGTTTGATCAAAGGAATATATAAAATGTGAATTAATTTAACACGTTCACGCCGGCGCGTACCACCGGTGGCCCGCACTAGACTGTCTCATCGGGCGGCTTGTACCACCGGTGGCCCACAATAGACTGTCCCATCAGGCGGCGCGTACCACCGATGGTCCACATTGGTCCAGGTTTGAACAAGCAAAAATCACGCGCCGCCAGATGAAGCGCATTTTAGATTCGAGTGCCGCCCCACAGCGTAGACACTGAAAATCGGCGCCGGCGTCAACGTGTTAATATAATTATAATAATATAAATATGTTATCACATAGATTTCTTATACAACGAAAAAGAGAATGGAAGAAGAATCAATTAAAATAATAAAAGAGTAAAAAACAAGTTACAATTAAAAAGGGACGCGATTTTTATAATAATAATAATAATAATAATAATAATTGTAGCACGGAACGCCAAACTTTTAGTATACATATATATATATAATAAAAATGATGATCTTGAAGATAAACGTGTGCATTATTTTCCCTTTTGGGAATGATCGAAACAAGTTGTGACCTCGACACGTTGTACGACGTATTTAAACGTCTGAGAAAAACGATTGGATCGTTGCGTCAAACTTTCCAACGATTTCTCGACCTTTACCCGACCCCAACCCAGCCCAGCCAGCCCTTCCCTCCCCTTTCCATCCCACCGTCCAATACTGATAAAAATAAAACGAAAGAAATAAATCACATTTTTGTTTACTCCATTAGTTGTGGATTCACCATTATTCCAGTTTTCTTGTCCAAATATAAAAAAAAAAAAAAAACAACAACACCACTTTAACCAATTTGATAATCAACAAATTGTCCAATGGAATTTCTTAATTTGTGACCCATTCGTGGTTCGCCATTTTTTTCTTTTTGTTATCCGATATAAAAAAAAAAAAAACAAAAAAAACACCACTTTTGCGATTAAACAATAAGCACATTGTTCAATCGAATTTCAATTCGTGGCCAGGGTCGAGAAGTTGGACCGAATGAAAATCCTAAAAAAAAAAAAAACGAATCCCCCTAACTAATATATTGTATTTCTTCATTTTCATTTTGTGCGTGTTTTAAATAGACCCGTAAAAGTTTTTCCAAGGATAATGTACGTCCTTAAGACGAACCATCTCCTACCCTGATTGATGATATCATTGTTTAACCGGCAATTCGTAATTGGTGAATTCAGGTATTATAGGTTTGATACCGCTCAATTCGTCTTGAATTTCCTTCAATGATTTACCTTTGGTTTCAGGTAATAGGAATATGGTGAATAATACACTTAACAAACAAAATACGGCAAACATCCAATAGGTTGTGTGATGTCCAAATTCTCCAGTAATGTCACTGGCAAATTTCGTTATGAAAAATGCCAATAACCAACAACTCGATACGGTTATACCGGAAGCTTTGGATTTAACGTCAGGTGCAAACATTTCACCCATAACTGCCCACGGTAATGGTCCCCAACCGATGCAATATGTTGAGATAAATATTACCAATGATATAACGGGTAACATTGAAATTGAATCGACTACTTCTGGATCTTCGTATTTTTGTAGATAAAAGTAAAGACCTAAGGCACCCTGTAATCAAAATAACAAATGCATAATATTAATAAAAAAAAAAAACAATTAACTTATCATCTCATTTCCTCCCCCCCCCCTTCCTCAAAGGAAGAGAAAAGGAAAGAACAAATCCAACAAAATTTCAAATAAAGCAATAACAATTAATTACAAATTTATTATTCAATTGAATCATCGTTAGTGGTTGTATTATTTAATCAACTTGTGAACACGTGTGTTCAAGTATGCGTGCTCATCAATCGAATACATATATATATATATATATATATATATGTATATAAACGTAATAATTCTTCGATGTGCAACCTTTGCTTACTTTTCATAACCTTGAATAAGTATAAAACTACTGTACGTTGCACTCGTATGAATAATTCATTCAATTTTTATAATTATAATTCCAAATTAGATAGGAAACCAACAACAAAAAATTCGTAATAATAGCAATGTGAATAAATGACGATCTCCCTCTTGAATAATTCGTTTTTTTTTATTTTTTTTTTTAAATGGAAGGTCACGTGAATGCTATCATCAATGCTATAGTACACGCGTTCCGAGATCTTAACGAGCTTGGCCATGAATTCGAGTAAGAAAACTCACGGAATGCGTTTAATTGAAACGTTTTAGTACTTAACTTCTTCCCGTATAATTTGTTTCCTTTTCTTTTTTTTTTTTTTTACCTTTGGGAATAACCTGTGCACGCATCATTCGTACATCCGTTTTGATGATGAATTTCAAGATGATCGAAGATTAAATAATAATTTTGTTAAATAATTGTACAAATTATTTCACAAATTATCGTTCGTTTCTCGTTAAATAATTTTTGTTGTTGTTGTTGTTGTGGTGGGTATTTTGTCAATTGACTATCATTCATTTTGATTGAAATTGCATAAAAAAAAAAAAAAGAAAGAAAGAATTTCTTATCTGAACGTTTCAACTTACCAAAGTAACAATTTCACCGATACCAGAAGTGATGAGAAGTAATTTCCTTCCTAGTTTGTCAACGACAAACGGTGTGACAAAAGATGCAGCAATTTGTACAGCACCGACAATAATCGTAGCAATATTTGGATCCAATGAACTCTTAGCAGCTTCAAATATGTCACCCATGTAAAATAGGACAACGTTAATGCCGGTCAATTGTTGAAAGGATGCCAATAGTACGGTGAATATAAGCGCTTTGAAATTTGCTTTTACGGTAAAAAGATCGGAAAATTTTGTCTGCTTTTGTATCGATTCTTCGTAGGAATCCTAAAAGACAAAAAAACACAAACCAAATTTTTTTTTTATAACATAAAAATGTAAGTAGTAATATGAAACATTAACGTAGGATTTAATTGAATCAATGATATATAATATTTTTCTACAAAGAATTTCTCTTAACAGTTCTTCTAAACACGTGTGTAGTACATTATTAATGTTTCAATTATGTTAAACGCGTTAATTAATTTTACTACGTTTGTCTATAAATAAAATATGCATAAGAAGAATTAATTCAAGTGTTCCGATGCGTGAATCGATTTATTATCAGATCGATAAAGAGGGCCTTCTCCTCCGAAGTGCTGCACGAGGTCAATCGTCTGACTTATTATAATGCACACGACTCAATGACAGATTGTTTTCTAACACGTGACTTAAATAAACGTTCTAATTATTCTAAACGCGTTATAATATATACAATTAACACTTTTATACAATAATATTTGATTAAATTTAAAATATAGGATAATTGTTTTTTTTTTTTTTTTTTTAGGTATTTTTCTGTATTATTATTTTATTTATTTCATTGCAATTGTGGTATTACTTTGAATGTTGTTATAATTTACTAAATAGTTTAGAATTATATTAATAATATATTATATATATATATATTAGGTTCGATGATTCGCTTATACACAAATACACACTAGTTAAGATCAAAGAACGACCTTTACTAAGGCCTCGTTAAATGAACGTGACCGGACAAGTGATATTAAACTGATAGAATTTTATTCAACGAGAATACGAGCCACGTGACTATAGTAAGTATCACGTAAATATTTATCGATAAATTAACCATCTCGATTTACAATTAATACAAATTTTATTAGATATATATATTTATATATATATACAACATTAATTAAAAAATAAATCATTTTGATTATTGGGTTTATTATTCTTACCTGCAAGTCGTTTGCTACACTTTGTACAGCTGATTCACTCGAGCTACGTAATTTGACTAATGCAGCAACAGCTTCTTCCCTTTTACCTTTGGATATCAAATAATAGGGTGATTCTGGCATCAACATGAAGACAATGAAAAAGACTACTGGTAAACTGGCACAAAGGATCCAGAATACCATGTAAGATACGAATGGACCAATTACGTAAGAGTAAAACAATCCAAATGTGATGAACAATTGTAGAAAAGATCCCAATGCTCCTCTAATTGACGTCTACAAAAAATATTAATCAAAATTTATAATTGCATTAAAATTCTAAGCCCTTTTTTTTATACACACGTTAAATTGTAGTTAATTAATATCTAAAAATTACTTTGCAATTGAATGAAATGCAATTTTGAAAAAAAAAAAAAAGAAAAAAAGAAAAAATACAAAATACAAAAATCATCATTTGGTGTGTCGCATAAGAGAGTGAAATAAAAATGAGCAAACTCATATCGACACACACAAACACACACACACACACACAGACAGAGAGAGGTTTCGTTGTGATACAATGCATGAATAGCAATATGATTTAACATGTAACCGAGTACTTTGGATTAACAATAGTATGATTTCGTTTTGAAGATAATTATTTTTCTTACCTCAGCGATCTCTCCCACGTACATAGGTACAACTGTGAATGCGAAGGACAAGGCAATACCAAATATAAATCGAGCTATGTACAATTGTACAACAGCATTTGCTGTAGCTATCAGTACCCAACCAATGGTGAAAGGTACAATACAAAATAATAAACTGTACTTTCGGCCAAATCTGTGACACACGAATGATATTGTCATTAGAATTGTTAACTTAAAAACATTAACAAAATAATAATAATAATAATAATAATTAATATTATTAAAAAAATAAAACAAAATGAAATAATTGAAACCTTTCTGCAGCATATCCAGCTAAGAAACTTCCAACAGCAGCACCAACTGCTACCAACGATCCTATCCAGGATGACTCGTTCTCTGTAATTGGACGATCCAATGGTGTATTTTCTCCTTTCTTGAGTTGTGGTAATATTGGACTGGTCCAACCCATCATCGCACCTGTCGCCATTATGCTTAAATTCGCTAAAAAAAAAAAAAAAAAAAAAACAAGAAAAAAACGAAATTATACAAAATATAACAAAATTCTCACGAACATTTATTATTGTGATCAAATGTTTCTCTCAATGATAGAAAATACAGGGAACGAATTATTAATTAATTTTCCATAAAGATAATAGTATTGCGTAAAGAAAAATGAAATAATAAAAAAACCAAAAAAATGGGGGTTTTTTGTTTTTTTTTTGTTTTGTTTTTTAAAGAATACTTGTGTGTAAATCTTTTCAAGTCAATTTTCACAGGCAACATCGGAGGCATTTTCTGCGATAAAATCTGTCGTTAAATTAGCACAGAGCTTTTGCATAATCGCTTATTTCATTTGAAATTGCTTCGGATTTTATCAAGGACTTACTACTGACGACTACTCGTAACCTGCTTTTATTACACATTTATTTCCGACACTTGATACAAAATGATAAATTGCTTTTTTGTCAAATGTAATATTTAATGAT